ATCGAGTCAGGAAAAATCCCCTTAAATTAATTGAAGCGAAACGCTGCCAAACGTCGGGAATTTCAAGTCAAAGCATCGACTTTTTTTTAGCTCTATCGCCGAGAAAATCTCAAATTCATCGCCGATCGTTGCTCCGTTTACGACACTTCCTGCACCATCGTGTTCCTTGTGTCGTTTCAAGTCCTCCGGTGTCATCCTCGGTCTCAGTCGACGGCGGCGCGTGAGAAGGTGGAGTAGTCAAAGATTCGGCCGAGTTGAAATCGAGCTCTCCGCCGTTCAAAAATTTGAACCGATCTTTGTAAGTATCTCGAAATCGCTCAAAATAATTTTTAGAAATTTTTTCGGGATTTTTAGAGCCCCAGAGGAGGTCTCACGCGCCACACGCGCCGCCGCAGGGAGAGTAGAAGCTGGAAAACCGGTTTAACCGGTTTTGACCGGTCTGAACCGGTTTGACCGGTCTGACTCGACCCGACCCGACCATTGACCCGACCGTTGACCGTTGACCTCTTTTGACCAAAACTTAAAATGGCTTTGACCGACCATTAAACGACCGTTAATCTTTTCCGAGTATACATATTCTGATAGTTTTCGATGTCCCGAATCCGTTTTTGAAGTTCGTTTCATCAAATTCGAACCCGAATACCTCAAAATCGACGGTCAAAGTGGTTGACTTTGACTTTGACCAAGAATTTAAATTTTTGAAAAGTCATACTTTATGTTTTTCGACGTCCTGAATCCGATTCCGTAATTCGTTTGACCAAATTCAGACTCGAAATCCTCTAAATTGATAGTCAAACCCTGAAAATACTTATATACTTAAGAATTTTAGCTTTGAACAATTAGGTAATATTTGGGGCTGATAAATTATTATTATTTGAAGGTATAAGAGACTTTCCGGATCGTTCAACAGCTCGACCCAACTCTTCTATATCAGTTAAACCACGTTCGAAAACTGTAGCAGAGCGTGGTGAAACCAGCAATCAGTAAATCTACTATTTGAACCTATTATCGAGGTGTGTTCCCTAAGTACTATTTAATTGTTTTATTTGTTTTGAAATATGGTACATTGAAAGCTATGATTTACTGTTTATTGATGGTTTATGGACAATGACTGATATATGATTATTGGTTTTCACCTATATATGATTACGAATTTATGGAAATTATGCTTATTGCATAAATTATATTGATTGAAAATATTGATTTAGGGTTGGACTGAATTACAATGGTATAGCTCTGATCAAGCTAATAAACAGTACGGACTTAATGTGACTCTTGAGTAGACTCGCGGGCCCAAGATGCTTCATTAGGTTGGCTTCCTTTGCTGTGTGCTTAAGGTAAGCTATATGGACTTATGGACTTACGGACTTAAGGATACAAGCTCTAAAGCCTATCCATAGGTTGGTTTCCTTTTTTCTATGTGCTTAAAGTAAGCTATATGGATGCAGTTTTGGGAACTGCGGATGGTGCACAAGAAAAGGGTTTAAACTATGATTTTCAAAAGTTAAACTCTATTATGAAATTATGATGGTTTATTGAACTATTACTCGTTTATTGTACCTATTGTGATTTTATGGTAATGTGGGACACACTGAGCCTAGCTCACCTTTCGAAAATATTTTCCCCCTTTCAGATATTGTTGGTTAGATACCCCGGATTGAGCACTTGGAGGATCAACATATCTCTTGAAGTATATTTGATTGTAATGTTTTTATCATTCAGGTTGACTTTATTTTGGTGACATGGACTTTATTTTAAAGTATTGGATTTTATAGTGATTACACTTTTATTATTAATATTCAGTTTATCGTGATTTTGATTTTTAAGACATGTTTTAAATTAATTTTTTACTTATTGGTATTATATTTATGAGTTGGGTTTTTATAGTATAATATCATGTCATTTATAATGTGATTTTACAATGATTGAATAACGGTTTCAGAAACTGTCTTTAAGAATCATGTATGTGATTCACTAGACTTAGTCGAAACGCATAGGTCGGGTCTAGGGGGTTACACATAAAGAAAATAATGCAATGAATAATGAATGTATGCAAAATGCATATATGCAAAAGGTATTGATCCCAAAAAGTTAACTGTCATAGAACAACTTTCATCGGCATACAAAAGTTTCTTTATAATAGTTCATAACTACAGATAAGGCGTAGCTTTCCTGTTAAGCTTTATAATTTCTTTCATTAGCCATGACATCTTCTTTCCGAACTTAGAAACTGGATCAATGTGATGCTCAATTATTTTTGCTTCAACAGCTAGCTCCCCAACATATCTGGCAACTTCGCTCATTTGTATCATGGCCTCTAATACCATATTGCTTCTTTCTTCACTTCTTTCTACATAGAAATCAGTCGATTTTTGCCATTGTTCATTAGTTCCTTTGAGAGTTTGCTCTAACTCAGTGATTCTGACATGACAATTGTGCAGAGTTTTTTCAAGATCTCTAATGCGTCTTCGCAGTGAAGCACTCTCCTCATTACTTTCTTTAAGATCACTAGGTCCTAGATGAACCTTTTCTTGAAATAATGACTCTTCAAGTTACAAAATATAAGCATTAAACTCTGAGTTTTTGTTTCTAGACTGATCCAGATCTTCTTCAAGTTTTGTTCGTGCTTCTTGCGTCCTTTGATTAAGCTTCTGGATTTGAACATTCTTGTTTCTGCATATTTGCATCCAATTGCTAGCCACTTCTTGCTCTACCTCAAGTTTGGTGTTGAAATTCTTCTTTTCCAGGTCCCATTTTTCTTTTTCAACATCGAACTCTTCAATCCTTTGGCTCCTAACTTCAAGTTCGGCAATCAGATGGTTCATTTCAAATTCAAATCCCTTGAACATGGTATTTTTCTCACCTTCAAATTTCTCAAGCATGTCGTTCTTTATCTCTTCTAAATCTTTGGCTCGATCCCTTTCTCTCTGCATTTCATTCATGATCTCGCGGTGTTCAGCTTTGTGTTTTATAATTCGCTCTCTTCTGTCAATCTCAAAATTTTCCATTTTTTGCTTTCCTTTCTCAAGGCTTTTGAGTAGACGGCTATTCTTTCCTTTCAAATCTTCAACTCGACTTTTCTCGATGTTCAATTCTTTGGTTCTTTATTTCTTTATTATGTAAACTAATTCATTTTTTTTTTGTTCTTTATTTCTTCTGTTTGCATAGCATCATACAGGATAAAAGGCATTGATCCTCGTGTTAATTGTCTCATTGGAAAACCTTCTTCCATGGATAAAAAGTGTTCAAATCAAATAGTTCTAAACTCAAAAGTAAGACAGTGGGCTGAGGACTTACAAAGACAAGGGGGAGACAGTCTGCAGGATGACTATGTATCTGAGTTAGCCAGTTATGCTCCAGTTTCGCTAAAAAGAAATGATATGCAAGATTTGCGAGGCATTTGGGAGAGTTGGGACTCAAACAAAAAGTTGCAGTTTTATCAGACTTACGGAGACATCCCATATTTTCTCTATGTTGAAGTTGATGATGACTTACTTCGAGCCCTAATTCAATTCTGGAATCCATGGTACAATTGCTTCACTCTCAATAAGGAAGACTTGGTTCCTACTATTGAAGAGTACACAACTTTGCTACATATAGAAGGGTAATTTGGATTTTGGAGCATAGGATGAATGATGAGTTCAGAGGCCCCCCAGATGACAAGTCGTTACTCTTTTAAGGTGAGCGGCATCCAACTTGCATCGCGTTCCGTTGCATTTGGTTTCAAATCGAGAAAAACATGATGGATAACTTTGTATTTGGAACTTCTTTTGGATGTTTAGTTTTTCAACTTGGTTCTTCGCCCATAGTAGGAGACACCATGCATTTGACTGTAATAAGTACTGTTCTGTACATACTAGCCATGGACATACCATATGTTTAACTTACAAAATTTGTGCTACTTAGTTTTGTTCAATTATTTTCAGGGGAAAATACTGTCAGTGTACTTGGTCGCATAGTTCTTAGTATTTGGCTATTTGTGGTTCTCATAATCAACTCAGGCTACACAAGAAGCCTTACCTCAATCCTTACAGTGCAAAAACTTACTTCTCCCATTAAGGGAATTGAAACTTTATTAGAATCCAAGGATCCCATCGGGTAGCAGCAAGGATCGTTTGCCCGGAACTATTTAACCGACGAGCTAAAAATCGATCCTTCGCGATTGGTTGCTCTAAATTCCCCTGAAGAATGTGCTAAAGCTTTGAAAGACGGGCCTCGCGAGGGTGGTGTGGCTGCAATGGTGGATGACCGTGCTTATATCGAGCTCTTTCTCTCGACCAGATGCGAGTTCAGCATCGTGGGAAAAGAGTTCACCAAAAACGGATGGGGATTTGTAAGTTGGTTACCCTTTTGTTTTGGTGCTTGTAGTTTGTACGTTTTACTTAACTGGAAACTAACGGTATTGTTGGGAGCAGGCCTTTCCCCGGGACTCTCCTCTAGCGGTGGACAAGTCGACCGCCATTCTCAAACTCTCGGAGAACGGAGATCTGCAAAGGATCCATGACAAATGGCTGTTAAGACGACCGTGTAGTTATCAAGGTGCAAAGATGGAAGTGTACAGGCTTCACCTTAAAAGCTTTTGGGGACTATTTCTCATGTGCGGATTAGTTTGCTTGATTACTACAAGGGATCGGAATTTCGGAGCTCCCAATCGGCATGCATTCAAACATTCCTTTCTTTAGTCGATGAAAAGGAAGAGGTAGTTAAGAGTAGGTCCAAGAGAAGGCAAATGGAGAGGGACTCTAATAGGATTGATGATGGATCAAACAGCACTGGCTGCTCCGTCAGAAGAAATATAGGTGAATTTGCTTCAAACAAAAACATTGGAACTACTGCTGGTAGCAGTGAAGTCTAGGCAATGTTTTGTCCTTTTTTTTTCATATGATTGAGATCAATTTATAAAAGCAGTGGAGGCAAATATTTAAAGAATCGATCAGCCACAGCACGTAGGTGCTAAGGGCTTATGTTGTACTTGAACAGGCTTTCCTTTGCTTTCTCTCTTCATGGTTACAGACTAAGTTCTGATTACAGCACAATTCCTTTCTTCTATTTGATGACATTGAAACGAATATCAATCTGCTGGAGCTTTTACATTAATTCTACCTGCAAAGCCACAACAAGTACAAAAACAGCGCTTCTTTCTTCGCTTTACTTGTCTGTCATCTCTCACTTCACTAGCCCATATATATGTATATGTATGTAAAAGAATAAGTGTTTCAACTATATGATTTGAATAAATGAGTGTAGTCTCTTCTTCATCAGCTCAAGATCCACATGTAGAGAGTTGACCAAGACGTGAGTGCTACAGCACAAGCCAAGTATGTCCACAGAAAGAGGACCGAACACTCGTCTTGACCCACATTAAAGAGCTGTGTCATCGTACCGATGTTCATGGCTGGTGGCAGAGTGAACTGAACCATGAGCACGAAGCGGAAGAGAGGGTAGGACGGTAGGAACCCAAGGCTCCCGGCTGCTTTAACAACATAAATGCCGACAACCGGTAGTATAATGAATCGAACACACACCACCCCCACGATAACCATTGGCTTGATTGTCGACGATCGCAGACCTTGTATCAAGTTGGCTCCTAGAATGAGCGTGATACAGGGAATCGTTGCGTCCCTACATGCAAGAAAGTAGTTTCACCACTTGGTAACATAGGTACCAATATATTATGAGCAAATTATTAAGGGAACAAGACCGCATACCCTAGCAGTTTAACCGAGTCTTGGATTACCCGTAGTGGAGCGCCGGGACCAATTATGAGGTTCCTCAGCCAGACTATCGTTCCGAAAATGAACCCCAAAATCTGATTTATCGAGTTGACCAAATTGTACTACATTAGGAAATGGGATGAAAATGTAACACAAAAATATGGAGAACTTACAGCACCAAGAGTTGGCGGTGCCATGAGCTCTTCCAAAATAGTATGAAGAAATCCTGCAGCTTTAATCCACAACGATGCATTCCCTTTCGGCTTTATGCTATTGTCTTGGGGTACATTCTGCAATTACAGTCATTTCAAAGGCCAATAAGGTCAGCCATTTAGTGTTATACCATATAAAACATAACCAGAACATAAACTATTTTGTTCTGAGGGACCACTTACCACTACTATGGCCCCTTGCTCTTCACTTTCTCCTTTTAGAAGATGAGTTTCGGGTGTGACATCCAAGTTATTGTTGGCTTGTTTCGAAGCAAATTCCTCGACAGCTTCATGTACTCTCAATTTCAAAGATGATGATTTTATCAACTGGAAACTGATGGTCCAAATGTAGAAACCACCGAGCTGCATGCAGAATCATATATGAATACAACTAGCTCCAGCAGCCAATCGCTCATTTTACATTAAAATTGAGCTTGAAACATGAGATATCACATTACCGCCATGGAGAAAGATGCATAAGAAAGTCCAATCGTTCGGCACACGTTAGTATCCCCAAAAGGGCTTTCATCCTCGTTACAGATTGCAGGGACAACTACGAGAACAAGATTCCCCAAGTTCCCTAATTCAAAAAGAATCTATTCTTAGTACCAGAGGGGCTTAAAAGATCAAAGCTGTGTGCCAAAATCAAACCCACCAGATGAACACATAGCAATGATAAGACCCTCCAGATATGGTTTCGGTTTCAATATCTTAACCATGATCCACCCAAGAATCCCTCCCACTAGAAAGGTGAGCCCAATGTTTACAGGCATAAACCACCTGTGAATTTGATGATCAAATCAAAAAATGTTCAAACAAAGCCACACAATCGCATAAGTATATATATATATGCAGATCTTACCATGAAATAATGTCTTGAAAAGTGACGGTCCTGGCAAGACTTGCAAATATGAGCGAGGGCGTAAACACGACGAACACGAGCTATATTACAGAAGATATACATATATGTATATATTAGAGTTTGAACAACATAAATGCAGAATAAAAAGAAGTTTGCAGTAATGAGTACCCTATTCAAGGATCGCCTTGTGTCTGCTGGGAGTAGTTTGCAGTAATCAGTTGCCAAGAAAGCACCCAACAAACTGATCAAAAGAACTTGCAAGATTGGCATGCTAGCTACCTCAAACAATATCCAGAAACCCATGTTTTAGAGTTCTCGACACTTGTCCCGAGTTTTCGGATATTGGAAACTATAAGAAGAGAAAGAGGGTGGAATTAATCAAAGTTGGGAGGGACCTTAAATATAATGATAAGAGTAAGATTAGGACTGAAGGAGGATGAATATGTGGTTGTGGAGGAGGTGGATGACAGGGAAGAATATATGCATGCATGTAAAATGATGCAAAATGAGTGGGGTCAGGCTTTCTCTTTTCTGCCCCCCCCCCTTTTCCCCTGGTTATACGGTTGAAATTGATGATTGATGGGAGTTTTGGTGATCGGCATCTTCGATTGCGGGATGCCTTTGCCTAGCCCTTGATTAATGTGATTGACCAGATTTTGAGAAGGACCAGGTCATAGAACGAGCCAGAGTCGGACATCCTTTTCTATTCTGCTTGGCTAGCTGGCATGTCATGCGCGTTTAACTAAGTTAACTTCAACTCTAATGTTTTTACCCAACTGTTTCAAGTAGATGCAGGCGCACATGCATTCTGAATGTGATTTGACTACACGTTTTAATTTCTCTCAATGCCTACCTCTACCAAATACCAATTAACTTATAAGTATCAATTATTATTAGGCTCTAATTTGTAAACATGTCCAATGCACGGGATAAATGCATGAATAATTAAGGTTTTAAATATATACATTTGAAATTATAAATTAGTTTTTTTTATATAAATAATATGATGTGATTATAAAATAATGTTTATTATTTAAAAGATTAACAAAACATTATTGAGAATATACTTAGACGTTAACTAAGTCGTATATGCAATTTACTTTGATGACCACTTAACCTACAAATGATTTTACTTTATGTGATACGTTGAAAGGAACCCGCGCCGTGCATTTTGCAGGTCTCCGCGTCCAAGTGATCCATGGAATGATTGAACTTTGATTTGCAAGTTGCAATTAGAATAGTTGGGTGCTGATGGAATCCCTTACCTCACAGTTTGGAAAGTTGGTACGTAATTCCAACTGACACACAAACACCATTTATTAATACAGTTTAATTTTAATTTTAAACATCTAATGTCTTTCTTTCAAAATTGGATACGGCTCTCTATAAGCTCTTCATTCCCAGTTGTCAGTGTTGATAGCTACGTCGTGTGTGAAATTATTTTAAAATTCAAAATCGACGTCGGCTTAACTTTGATTCATGTTTTTTTTTTTAATTTGGATTAAGGCCTTCGCCGCCGTCTCTTATATCAAAGTTGCACTTCGAAAGGGAAAAAAAAGAATAGCAAAATAATATTATTTGTTTGAATTTCATAAGGAGTAGCCTCTAACGGTGAATTGAACCCTTTGAAATTTATATTTTACAATTTTATGTTGAATTTGACAAATAGATGATGCCTTCACTGGTCCAATTGCATGATTTTACAATAACAATTTCAATTAAAGATGATATAAAGTTTTATGTTAAGAGAAAAAATCATATTTTTTTTGAAAATATAAAAAATTAGGAGATAAAAATAAATTATCAATAAAATAAAAATATTTTTAATTGTATACACGTTATTTCGTCCCATCTCACATTCATTCATATATCATTAAGCACATATTATATTAATTATTTATTCTTTTTCTTATTACAAGTTTCAGGCCTAAACACATGGCCCAACAATGACCCAAACGTGTAGCCTGCCACCCGTATCTACTGAAGCCCAGACCCAAAGTAGATTAGGGTTTCTAAAAACCCTAACCTATCTCATCCAAGCCAGCGCCGCACGTTCCCCCGAGGTTCCCTCACGCCTCACGCCTCTCCAACAGTCCCGAAACGGCCGGCGTCGTGTGGGATATCAGCATCAACAAACCACCACAACAAGAAAAGCAACAAGAGTTAGAGATTGATTAGGTTTCAAATACCTAAAAATAGGATTTTTTATTCCTATAAAAGGATGTAATCATCCATTTGTAAGGGGGGATATACAAGGATTTTACGCACGAAATACCAGAAAATACGAGGTAAATACAAAATCATTTGAAGCGTTGTAACATTTTTTTCGAAAGAAATAAAGGTGTGATTTTTACCTTGTTTTGTCGATTGATGCTTGCATGTAGGGAAAGCATTCGTTTTTCCATCGTTTCATTTAAAAGAAAACAATTTTTTTCCGAAAGTTTTTCTTTAGATCTACACTTTACCACGGGTATTCTTAAAAAAAGCATTTGTGGTTTTGAAATAAGGGGGTCGAGAGCTTTAAAAAAATCAATTTTTTTTTAGTTTTGCCGTCGATGAACAACGGCGAGGCGACGCTTGTGGCCAGGTTTTGAAAACAAGATTGGTGTTCTTCGTGGATGAAGAACAGATGAGAGAAATGAAGGGGGGCTCTCGATTTGGGGGAGAAGAAATGAAGGAAAATAAATATTTTGAAACAACGTTAGCTTTTATACTACCCATTTAACCGACCCATGGAGCCAACCGACCCAACCCAAACATCCTTAGACCCATGTGTTTTGGTTCTAAAAAGGGTAGGTTGCGCTTTTGGACACTCCAAGTTTAAAGACTATTATTTTAACCCTAAATCTACATTTTAACTCCGAATTCTCCCTAATTTCGCCATCCAACTTTGCTTTTATTCGATTTAGTCCATTATTGTATATACATAATTATATCATTTTTTTATGTATATACATTTTGTTCTTTCTATCTACTTATTTATTTATGTTACTATTTTTATTATTATTATTATTTTACTCTATCATAGTTGTTTCGATTATATCATTTTTATATATGTACATGTAGTATTTTTATTATTTTGTATATTTTAATTATTCATCCATATTTTTTTATTGCTTTTATTTATCATGTACATCTTCTTTTTGCTAAGATTTTCCTATGTTTTATTTCATTTTTTTCCCTTGTCCTCATTTTTTCATTCTTTTCGTTTTGTTTTGTTGTGTTTATTTTATTTATTTATTTATTTTATTTCTTTACTTTCATTTTGTTTGTTTTATTTACCTGTTACCTTTATGTTTTTCCTTTATCTCTTTTACTCCTTTATTTTATCTTCATTATTTCGTTTATTTTGTCTCTTGCTTGCTTTTATTTAACACATCTCTTGATTTCTTTAGGGTTTACTTTTAATTAATCAGTGGTAAGTTTGGGATTGTTATTTTACACTTTAATTTAAAATTACAATTTTCTTAATTTAAGACAACTGGAAAATATGTAGTACCGAAAGGGCGGTTCAAGGGTGCTAATCATTCCTTGACCGTAACCGACTCCCGAGCCCGACACATTTCTGGTAAGACGCGGATCAGGTAAGAAATAAGTTATCCGACCAACCCATTTATTTTAAAATAAATGATCGGTGGCGACTCCAACCCAATCAATTCAAGTCGAAGCCCAATTCCAGGTCCAACCGAAAGACGGTTCTGACAGCTTGGCGACTCTGCTGGGGACACAGGTAAATGAGTCAGGCTAAGATAATTTTCAGTTGTCTTTTTAACGAAAAGGGTAAATTTGAATTTTAAGGTAATTTTTTGATCCTTATTACTTACTTTTAATTACATTTTCGAGTAAATAGTTGTACTGACCGTTTTCTCAATGATTTCAGCCTTTAAAGTCTTTTTTTCTTCTAAGGCTCTATACCTGAGCTTCGAACCCTATTTTAAGTGGGGGTAAAAGTGACACCTTCGTGTGAATTTATTCACCGTGTGGGCCTAGCAAGTAGCCTTCGGGATTCATATACCTTATGTCTTCGTGTGAATTTATTCTCCGTATGGCATAAGGGAATGTTTCCTCTCGAGTTTAACTTAGTCCACACAAGCCTGTGATGGGTTTAGGACTAAGGGTCTGGTAAGCCCAAAGGGGCACCGGCAAGAAGAACTCGGGTACCATTTTTAGAACATAAACCGAGAGAGTACAGGGAATTAGAGCCCACCCCAAAACCTCATTCCGAACCCTAGGCTGCTGTGATTTTATTTCCTATTTTACTTTCTGTTCAAAGCATGTGAATTAAACAAATATGTGGTTAGGATTTGTTTGAATTTAGCATGCGGGATAGAGATCATATCCGTGTAGGAATAATAAGCATGTGGGGTAGATATCATGTGGGGTAAGACTTTTCATTTTCATTATTGTTTTGATTTAGCTCACTAACGCTTTTCATTCTTGTTCTCTTTTATTTTCATCATTTGCATCATTCATAAGAGGTGTTGATCTACCAAAAACGTGTTTGTTAAACTTGAATAATCTGCATTAATGGATAAAGGGGTTGTAATACAAGAGATGAAAATACAGAGGATAATTTACAAGGCGACTATGTGTCACATTCAATCCCGAAGACGTGGTGCCCACAATTGAAGAGCATATCACTCTGTTGCGTTATAAAGGACTCCGAATGAATCGGGTCTACACCAAGCACAATGAAAGTCTATCTTGGAAGAGCTGATTGGCAGAGGTTGTAAGGCCAAAATAAAGGTCACTGATCTTGGGAGTCCCCTCAAAGACAACAATGGATAGTTGAAATTAGAGACCATTGCTGACGAATTCAAGAAACAGACAAATGAACTTCACATAGTTCCATTCAATTGAGAGCTCCAATGACGTATTTGTTGGGAACATGCTCAATAAAAGATAAATGCCTGAGATACAGTCATTCGAGACTTCTTGGGCCAGTACAAAAAGTAACTCAACATTTGCACGGTTCATCCAGAGAAGCCGAAGCGGTACTACAGATTATTCAACCGGTGACAGACGAACGCATAAGATTAGTCAGCATGTCAGAAGCTGTCATAATATTTTTGGTCTCTTAAAAGATAAAACACTTTTGTCCCCAATAAGGATTATTCATAATAACAGGCACATTTATTTGGATCAATGCCTCGGACATTTCATGCATCATGTATTTGGACATATTTTGTATTTTGTTATTTTCTTTGCATTCGCATTAACTAACGAAAGAATGCTTCAAAATAAAGGAATAAGCATTGGACATTCCACCTCAAGCGTTGGACACACCCCCATCCACATAACACCCGCTTGAAAAAGAAGAAAATGGAAGCCATGATTGCTTAGATCGAGGAGAACATG